GTCCCAATATAATATTATTATCTATCGAGTTAGAGRCTTAGCACTAAGCAGCGAACTATAGAAATAGACGAGTTGTCCTAATATAGTTTTTTAAGTTGTATATTGTATACCTACCAAAATAAATAACAAAAATATAATGCTTAACTAATACAGACAATACATTGTGAAATGTAGTATTATTTTTTATAGATATTGTCTGATAAGGAGAGGAATGGTATTGGGTACAAAAAAACAGAAAGGGGCCAAAAAATATTAGCCCCCTTATAGAAAAATGTCTAGTTACGTGCCTGGTCTAATAATCGTACAGACGATACATACTTAACGTCATCTGTTTAAAAATTTTGACTTTTATCCCATCCACCCTCAAATGACAATGGCGTACATAAATATAGATTATATAAAAATTAAGATTGCATTGTGTTATCTATAATTATAGTCGTTGTAATGATGTAATTTTAGATTCTGAAGTCTGACCGGAGCGATGAATGTATTGATTTGACCATGATGTGTATTTTATTTTTTTTTGTGTCTGTCATCACGTTTTGGGACAGTAAAAGTGCTTCGATTTTTGTCGTTTGACTTCAGTACCTACTTCGTTCGATCAGAAATCACGTTTTGGAGCAAAAATTGTTTTGATTTTTGACTTCAGTACCTCTTTTGATCAGAAAGTGAATCTAGTTGGTACTTTGGGGGTCAAAAGTAAAAAATTCTTAATACTTTTCTAAATAATCGAGAAAAACAAACTAATGAAGTCGAAGTCGAAAATCAAAGCACTGCTACTAATATTACAAATATTTTTCTTAATAATCGGGATAAATAAAATAAAAATTAAGGAAAAAACGGGAATTTTTACGCACAATCAGTTTTCGACAAAATCAACTTTGGTTTTAGATTTAACTTTAAAAAACAAATGACCAGATACATGAAATTTTCACCGAATGTTCATTTAAGTACCTTTATTTTATCCACTATTCAATTTTCAAAAATTTTCGACTTAAGTTGAACTATTCATAGGTATTTGCAATTTTCGATCATTATTAGTTTTTTTTAAATTAATATCGATGAAAATTTATTTGTGGGGTGGAATAGCTTGAAAATTTAATACAAGGTTTAATACATATCTTAACATATTGTTACAATAGCAGTTGAAAAATAAAATAAATTC